TTTTTTAAAGGTTAATATATTTTCATAGTCACCCAACTTTCTAAGACTGGTGAATAATTAATTTTAAAAAGCTTATCATAACTTATTTGAGAGAAATTGCAAAATTAATCAAATTAGTTATTTAATAAATATTATTTGACCAGTTCTAGTACTAAGTTACTCCTTTTGATTTTGTAGAACCATTTTAAACTGCAGAACAGGTAACCCAATTAAAATAAAATCCTGCTTTCCATTTTGAAATCGTAGTTAGGCCCTCATGATTTACTTCAATGGAACTCCTTAAAGACATGTATGTGTAAGTATTGGCAGGATCTGGGCCTTTAGGTTTTAATTAATAATTGTCTACAGCTCTATTCCCATGAGCCTAACTTCATTTTTTGCCTATGAATATGCATAAAACTTCCATCGCTGTGTTTCTGCAGGGAGTAAGGGCTACAGTGACGTACAGCCTATACACTGCTGCCTATTTTGTCCAATCTGTCCTTGTAAAAGTAAAATAGCTGACTTTTTATTATAAGATTAACTTTAGGACATGCCTTTATATTGAAGGGCAGGCTGGAGCCCTAAACTAGATTAAAAAACCCATAGTGTTAGTACAGTCACTGACTTTTCACATTAGAATAGTTTCAGTAACAGTATTTATTCATTAATACCTTTAGCACAGAAACAGAGCTTGGATTCAGGAGGTGCATGGTGCTACAGTGTGCTGACACTTCTCTCAAGCTTCTATTTTATTCTCCAGAATCTCAGCTTTCATTTTTTTTTAAAGCCAATCTCTAGCTGTTATGATTGTGAAGAAAACCTCAAATGTGAAGGGTATAAATGATGTAAAGATGTTTAGAGAGAGGCGAGAGCCTGGAACAGAAGCTCATCTCTATTCATCTCAGTGAAGTTTAGTCTCAGATGCCCAATAGTAACTTAAATGTCAACATGAACTGTTTTGTTTTTCATGTGAGAAAGGAGAGAGAATCACAGACTTACTGTGAATGTCTCATTTTGATGTTATTAGTAGGTGTTAAGTTTGAAAGATGTTCCCCTCCCCTCCGTCAAGAAGGAGCTGAGCAGAGTGCATGGACAAAGTCAAGCTCTGTCAATGGGGAGCTGAGCTCAGAGGGCATGCATAATCATATTTTGAAAAGCTGCACAATCCAGTGTGAGCAGTGTCTCACTTTGGTAGTTCATATGGTTGGAACAGTACCACCACCTTTCGCCCCAGTTTGACCACTGAACACAGCATCCATAATGGCATAGCAAACACAACCGTTTCACCTTGTTTGTTCGTATGGGCATGTTGGCACTCTGTAGTATGAAAACCAGACCTTTGCCCTGAAAAGCTTACTCCTTCCAATTGACAGAGAACATGATGAAAAATAAAAAACATACCAAGATTGGGAGAATGAGGAGACATGATAGAAAATGTAGGGAAGGGAGCAATGTTCCTAGAGTATTATTTTCAAAATTCAGATTATTTTGTTTTTGTCCTGTTAAATATAACCTAGCATGCAAGGGAGATCAGATAGTGTTGGAGCCGAAGTTAGCAATGGAAAGCTACCTGAAACTGAGTTTTGGAGAGGGGAAACCACATGATGTATAAATAATAAGAAGAGAAGCTGTTCAAGGTATAAAAATCTGGGTGTGGTGTTATATATCTGTATAAATTATGGTTGGCAGAGGGAGAAGAAAATGACTTATAGAAAAAATTCAGTTTAAAAAAAACAAAGGAGCAAAACTTTTTTCATTGTTATATCTCAGATAGTGAAATGCCTGAAGATTAACTATTGACTGTGAAGGTGTTTTATACTAACTGGGTAATTACATCTAGTTTTTTGCCTAGGATAAACTATCTTTGACTTCAAGGAGTATTTAGCCAAGGATTTAGTTATTAATTTTTAAGGCAGAAGCACCCTCCAGTTATCACCTAATATCCAATGAGTTTCAAATCGTTAACATTTACTGAAAAGGAAATGTTGACATGATTCTGACAAGGTGATTGTGGACATTAATTCTTTACTCTAACCCTGTACATACATGTTGAACCTGCATCTAACACTTTTTCACTATCTGACTTTTTTTCTCTCTTTCAAGGGAATAGCACTAACAATAGAGGTGCAGTGCTTTTAGTGAGCTATTAACAAATAGTTGTGATTAATGGCCCTTGGCTGTGCTTCATGCCATCATCTTCTCCCAGCTAGTCATTAATCCCCAAGAAATGCTATAGGCCTCAATCACTATTGCTTAATTCTGCACCACCTTTTTTCCCATTACTTGACCTATCTTTAGTAGCTGGCTGGCACCTTTGGTGCTGTGACTTCTAACCAGGGGCTACACGGTCAGGAGGGTTTTTTATATAGCATCAATATATGCAGAATCTCTTGTTTTGTTTCAAGTCACATAAAGGTGTGTCATAGAAGAAAGCTAGTCCCAGAGCTCTCCTGATTTATGGAGGTAGGAAGTTCAAAAACAGCTTTGCAGCAGAAGAAATGGAGGTATTTACAGAAGATTAATTGAAAACAGAAAACACTTCATTTGTAACATTTATATTAAAAGTGGAGGAACAATAATAATAATAATAAAAAGTGATGATAAAATTATTTGTGTTATGGCAACACCCAGAATGTCAATGGTTCTCAGGTTTTAAGATCTAGCGTGCTATATCTAGTACTTGGCATTCCACTATCATAACTTAATCAGTGTAATTTATAATAGTAAAGCAAGCCAGGTGCCACAGTTTCATAACAACTATTCTTTGTTGCTATCTGAACACACATGAAAAGACAGTCCTCACACTGAAGACATTACAATCTAAAAACACCTGGAAGGTGGGGTAAAGGGGGTTATGGAGATAATCTATATAGATATAAAAGCAAAGTCATCATGATATCTGACACATTCTTAGTTAGTTCCGTGGGTTTTATTTAATTTTTTATTATGGGGTCAGAGGTGGGGTGAGCGGGAAATAGGAGGAGAAAGGAATGGGAGGAGAATCAGTGTGGAGGATGATGTGCAGAAGGAAAGAGGAAAAGATGGAAGGAGCATGGATGGCAGGGAGAACCAGGCTTACAGCACAGGAACTGTAAAGAAGGGGGCAGGAGGGAAGTTGGAGCTAACAACCAGTTAGGGCAGACTGCACATTTATAAATAGAGTCTGATGGCCTAGCAGGGATCCAGGGGCTACCAGTGTATGCTGCCACACTGGCTCTTGTGGAGAGGGGTATTCTTGGCTCCTGGGGGTCGGTTCCACTTTGAAAAGTCCTATGCTTTCATCCCATAGAGCTGGAGGTGAAGTCCTCTGCCTGCTTTTTCTCCATACAACCTTTCCAGAAAGGGGTAAATATAAGTATTAGTCCCTATTTATTTTCCCACTGTCATCCTCTTCTGTTCACTGATGCATTCTGTTTCTTACTCTTGTCTAGTTTCCCTCCCTGATGGTGATGCAAGGTCTTTGGTCTTGTCCCTTTAAGTACTGTTCTCTGCTTAACATCCCTGCTTCTACATTTGTCTCCTTCTAGTGCTGTTTCACGCATCTATGGAAATGGGGGCATAGAAGCTCTCGGAACAGGAAAAGAGCACTGTACTGGGCTTTTGCTACTGTCAAGCAGGGAAAGCAAGGGTTGGATTTTACTCTCTGCAAGGCCCTAACGTGACTCCCTTAACCTTTGATTTAGAAAGAGGAACCGAGGTGGTGGTTAGAGGTGAGAAGGAAAGGACCTCCTTATAAAATGGATTTGGCCAACCTTGTTTGAATTGGACTTTCCTGACTTGAGCCATTACAAGCCACAACTGTATGTGGCCTGAAAAGTATTCAGTTATAAGGATCACAAAACTTTAAAAATCTGCGTAAAATTTTGTTCTGGAGAAAATCAGACAGAAGTGTTGAATGATCATTCTTAGTGAACTTTCAATATTTTGGAAGAAAACTAAACATGTTATTGTTCTTACTTTCAGCTTGTGTACATGGTGAATTTTCCCAGAATAGCTATAGCGGAATAATTATTCTGCTATCTCTGTATTGGTATTATTTCCCTGTGTGGGGACACTTTTTTGGCATAAAAGTGATTTTTATTAGCAAAGCAAAGTAATTCTGGATTGGAGCATCCACACAGGGGCATTATTCAGCTATAGCTGTACTGGAAAACTTCTCCATGTTGACAAGCCATTACTTACCACTTGCTAACTCTGTCCCTTTCTAAGGTGCTTGTCACCATGGTATCTAATTCACACAACACATGATTATATTTAATCTATTAACTCATCTGTGCACTCGTTAACTTTTGATTGATGTCTTACTTGGACAACATTGGTTAGTACATTTCAGAGTTGAAGCCCATATAAGAGTGTGATGTGAGGTGGTCTGTCTTATTTGCCAGAATTGGCCATTATGGCATCGGATTTTGTTAAGTATAAATTTGGCCCAAATGTATTTGAAGAAAACACTAAATATGAATGACAGAAGAACTAACAAGATTATCGACTTTAGAAATGTGTGCTGAACGTTCACGATGGCCAGGCTAAGAAGAACATTAGCACAGAAACCATGGAGAGAAAATATTTTTTTTCCATGTTAAGCCCCCTCCCTTCTTACTCACAGCAGGCCAACATGTTCACACTTGGCTGTAGCATCTCTTCTTGTACCCAGGATACATGTCACAGCTACCAAGGAAGGATATCTCATATTTTCCCTACACCAAAGGATATAAAAATAACCTTTTGTCAAATGTGAAATTTTATTTTAATCAAGGATTTATCCTTAACCTGCATGAGTTGACTCTTTGCTCCTGCAGAGTTACCTGGTAGCTGTGAGATCAGCTGAAGCAGAATCTTCACAACAGAGTAGAAACTGTCTATATGACTTTGAGGGGCCTTATATAAAGGTAAAAGGTACTCTTTTGGTTTATGTGCTGAATGACCCACTTAACCTGGTTAGTGGGGGACATATAATACACATTGCAGAAGTAAATGGATTTTTGATTTGTAGTTCACCTTTAGGGAACCAATTGCACTGCAAGGAGTCTACTTAATAATTTCAGTAGAAGGTTTCACATTTTTTGAGAGTAAGAAAAAGATGCAAACAGGCAGGACTGATGTATTGCGTGCTGCAGCATTGGCATAAATTTTTAGTTTGAATCTTTCCATATGCAGGATAGTATAGCGATTCTCACATTCTAAACATCCTGCTATAAATCTTTCTCTTACTTGAAATGGTGAATTGGAGGGATCCTGGGATGCCAGACTGAGAAGCAATTGTAAAAGATTGACATCGTAGGAATAATAGGAATTGCCCTTCAATCCTAACTATGGGGCTGTTTAGAGGTACTTTAGGCCAAAGAATTATAAAAGGAAGAATTCTTCCACTGACTGTAATTCCAGTGTACATTGCTATTGCCTTCTTTTTATCGTCACGTCCCAAATTAATAAATATGGTATTTTGCTTCCAGTTTGTCTGCAAATAGTTGGAATTGTAAGTTTATCTAGTACAAATATGCATTTTACCTTTGATAAAGGGTCTCACAACATGCTTTATCGTGACTGTCAAGAGCTAAAAAGAGAAGGCCTGAAGGTCAGATATAAAGATGAAATGAGGGAGAAATCATTATAGATGAGGCAGCACAAGTCATAATGTGCAGTTGTGGGAACAGGATATAGAGGAGGCCAAGGTAGGGTCTGGCAGAGTAGATGATGCTCAAGCAAGAGTTAAGGTAATGTGAAACCGGGGACAATTTTTTGAAAGGCAGAGGGTCACTTTAAATTGGACATGAAGATGGATATGTCTTGGTATAGGGGATGAATAATGTCTCACTTCATAGATGGATTCATCGTTTGGGTCATCAAATGATGACTGGAGAGAGATGGCTCCTTGAGCAACTGATGAGCATTTTAGATTCTTAGATGTTTTAGAGTCTGATAGGAGACTAGGAGAATGGTACTAGTATCGGGGAACCAAAGTCCAATTTAAGACAGTAATTGCAGATTGCAGCACTGAAGAGAGTGAGGAAAAGGTGAATACTAATTTGAGATGAACGAGACTAGATGATATAACCCTTCCTGTGGTTGGGAGTTGATGGATTGAGAGCAAGAACATCTAGTAGCGAATACTCAGTATTGCAAAACTAAACAAACATCTTAAAACTGGACTGATTGGTTCTATCTAGCGCATTAAACACTTCAAAAAAATGGCCTACAGCACTGTGTGGCTAAGCTTTTAGTATGACCTAATTTAATAGTAGGGACTAGGATGTTTTTAGTTTAATTTTTTTTCTTTGCCATGTGGAGGGTTCTGTTCTTGAACCTCTGATAGGGCTTACCTGCATGGGTAAAGTTACTCATGCATGTTAAGTGTTCTTCAGGGGCAGTCTTAGTCAGTATCCCCTGCTTTTTGTGTGAGTCTTCCACATGGTAGCTGAGGAAATAAACCCAATTTTTAAAAATTGGGAAAAGTGTTTATAAAACAAAAGAAAAAATTGGCAAGGGGGAGGGTTGTGAGTAACACCTGAAACCACTTGTTAAATCTTATAAACAATTGGCTAGATTCTAAGTTTACTACGTTGTTATAAGTTGAAAGGTTGACATTTTTCCCCCCGTCTAATTTTTTTTAAATGGTGATAGATTTCCTGATGTGTTGGTGATAAGTGCAGATGTATATACAGTAGTTGAAGAGAGAATGCTGAAAAACTTCTAGTAGGGCATCAGTTTTCCTATTATATCTACTAATAATCCCTCCTTCTATCCATTTAAGGGAGATTCATTTCTGTTGATCTGGATACAGAATTATCTTAGACATTTAGATGGAGGGTGTGAATGCTTTCATTTCAGTTAATTGCTAGCAAAGTGATGAGCTGCAAGTTTAGGGCTCTAGTAGCTCATTTTCTGTTAACCATCAAATGGAAAATGCGGTTGTATTCTGTAGTCGCAACACCAGGGAAAATAAACAAAAGGGATTTCTTCACAATAAGATAATCACTTTTTTAGAGAAAATATCCTGCATGAAATTAGAGAGTTATATTGTTAGTATAGCAATTAATTAAAGTAGATATCAGTCATAAAACTCATATTACATGGTTCTGTGCTGTCATCATGTATAATTAAGATCCACAGGAAAACAGTGGAGCCCTAATGTTATCTTTTTATTGTATTTGTAGATTCACATAATAGATTTTGATGATGAAAATAACATTATAAACAAAAATGTTCTCATCCATCAAGCGGGTGAAATTTGGCACATTAGTGCCAGTCCTGCAGATAAAGGTGTGCTAGCAACCTGCTACAATAAAAGTAAGTGCATTTTAACAACTTATCTGAACTTGTGTGTTTTAATATTTATGGGATGTACAATGGCTGCACATCTGGCAATACAAGTAGCTTAAAATGGGATCTCTTCTATTATATGCACTTTTCCAAAACGCTTTCTTAAATATACATTCTTGAAGCAAGATTAAAAAATAAATGTAAGTTGTTTCCCTGATTAAATTTACTGAACTAGAGTTGCCTTCTATTTATATTTTTATAGGCTTTGGTACTTTTAGAGTTCATGTTTACTGGTTTTTCAAACTGGTAACGTAAAAGATGGTTTCAAAATAGTGTATTGCCATTACTAATCTCTTCTAGAAAGTGCAGAAACATTTTAATATAGTAGTTACAAATTACATATATAATACTCATACACACATAGAGGATTGTATAGCTTTTACCTAAAATATCTCACCAGCAGCAGCTTAAGACTCCTTGGCCAGCCTAAACTTGCATGCACAGCTATTGTCTGAAGATGCTCTGTATACTTCCTGGGCCAGAATATGTGGAGACTACATATTTTGAGGCTTGAAAAAAATCACTCTTTTCCCACTGGTTAGTGGGAAGTTTATCTCTGGCAAGCAAAGGGACCTATGATATTAGTTTGAATAAATATTCAGTTTCGTTAAAATAAATTCTAGGCCATAGTTTTTTGAAGATAACCGTCTCAATGTGAATGGAATATAAATTAACATTTATTTTCCTGAATCTCGAGACAGATCCAGAGCCTCAGCTACTTCTCATACTTCAACCTTGTAGCTGTGTCTGTGAAATTAAGACTTTGCTCACTTACTGCTGGTATTCTAACCCATTAATAAAAACGGTCATAAATAACATTTTCTTATGCTTAACAAAACTAAGACTAATTCATAGTGGATGGGTACAGTAACAAACCTTTTTAGTTTTCTAAGAGGGGAATTGGACTGAAAGACAGAGACAAAATGGTATTGGCGTGACTTATTGGGCATAACTTCCTCACCTTGCCAGTGATCCATGGGGAAGGTTGAAAGAGCTGGAATCTGTCCTAAAATTCCTTACCTATTTAAATGACTTCAAACTAGTTTCTCAGTAGCTCCTTGATAAAACCTGGTCATGTGCATGTATACTATTTTTTACAAACAAACACAAAAAACCCTCTAGTTTCTTAATGCTGTTTTTCTTTAGTTTTCTTGAGCTGGTGAGTACTAATTTTAAAGAGCTTTGAACTATGCACAGTGTGAAATGTGTTAAAGAACAAATTAGATACTTGTTTTTATTTACATTTGTCCAGCAAGTGGAGTAGGTAGGTAGATGATGTCCCATTCATTTTTTTCAGTTTTTACATATAAAATTTACATATTTCTTTGAATGTAAACATTAATAGTTTTAAACTATGTCTACAGCTCTCTTCGGACTTTATTTTTTCTAGAAAATATTACACTTTAATGAAAATCTTTCTAAAATCACTATTAAAGCCTGTATCATGTTGCATTGTTTGTAATAGGAATATGTGTAATAGTTTAAGAATTGCATTTGTTTGATAGGTAGCTTATTTAATAGTCTTATACTAGAAATGATGGGGCTGAATCTAAACACCTCAATTTTTTTGTGATATTCTGTTTCAATCTATATCCATTTTTTTATCTCTGCAGTTTGGACCCATGTCTAGTTCACATGTTTATTTTTTCTGCTCTAGCCTGTGTATTCTAGCTCGCGTTTGTTTACTTCATCAAATTTATGTATATTAAGTTGTATTATTTGGGCTTCATGCATCTTCGTTTAGAATAATCGACCACACGCATTTAAGAGAAAACAAGTTCTGATTCAGAAATTATTATTGATGTTTCTAAATAACAATGTATGGTGTAGAAAGCACACAGTATGGTGTTCTTATAACAAGGAATATTGAATGTAGCAGGCAACTTACTTTAAGTAGTAATGCAAGCAAATGAAACAATCAGAACCCTTTTAGAGCTACTACTTTGGCATAGAAGAGCCTCTAACTTTCCTCTTGTCTAGCCACCAGACATATGAGGTGTTGTTTTGGGATAGCCTTAGTTATTCATATTGAAGCCATCTCTCAACTGGCAGCATAAGACTCCTGGAAAATTTAGATAGGCTCCCATTTTCAACCACAATATTAATTTTAGCTTTCAAGTCACTGCACTATATTGTGTCTCCCTATTTCTATGAACCTCCTTACCCCCATAGACCATTTCATCAGCTGTGCTCCTCTACTTAGTGTTTGCTAAATCACATTACTTCCACATGGAAAACTGAGATGGTATTCTAATCTTTTTTCCCCCCCTTCTTTCTGGATCTCTTCTGTTTGAACTACTTGTAAATTAGTTTGTCATCCATAGCAGAAGTTGCCTTCTTATCTTGGACATCCTTGTTTTGTTTTTAACTTATAGCGCATAGGGAGATGTCTTCTATGTAATGGACAATTACATAAGTGCTGTCTGTAATTTTTGATACTTGAAAATATGTTGTGCTAAATTTCACTGGAAATTGATAAAAAATTTGGATGAGACTAGCTAATTAATACAAGGTCACTGTCTTTCCCTTCTAAAAAAAAAAAAAAAGCACGCATGCACCCCACCCCCCCTTCAAATAAGACTGTCCATTTTGGTCAGTCTGGGTTATCTGCTGCCCCTCCTCAAACTGGGACTGAGAAAGTCTATTGCCAGCACTTGTACGTCAGCAAGATGGCAATAACGCTTCAAAATGAAGATGGTGCGTGTGAGAGAAAGATGTGCTGTGCTAATGCAGGACACAGGAAAAGAGTGTAAGGAAATGTGACTTGTGCCCATTTTTAGTAGCTATCTTTGAAGTTACCAAAATGATGGGCAAAATCTAGGGAAGAAGAAAAGAGGGATAATTACATTTTCACTTCCACTTCAAAGCTCTTTGAGAGAAAGCTAATGGGTAAAGCACTTACGAACTCCTCTATACAAGTCTCCTTAAATACAAGAGCAAACTTATTATATGAAAAAGCCTTGGATGGGAATAACCTCAGTGGGAATAACTTTTATTTGTTTGTTACTTTTTTGAGGTATATTTAGCTACCAAAGTCAAGACTGAACTGTGGCTTCCTATTGTTTCATAAACCAGAAAAAGGCACAGTATATATGCATCAAAGTATTTGTGAATCTTAATTATTTCTTTCTATATATTTAAATGGATAGACATAGTTACATTTTTTTTTTCAGGCTATCCGGAAATTCGAACCTCCATTTTTTTAGATGGAGGTTGAGTATAATACAGATTGTGTACCCCTTTTTTTTACTACTTGAATAATATTCCCTACCTATATCACATGGCTGTTGTGAGGCTTAATGCATTAATTTTTTGCAAAACATATTGTGAACATGCATATTAGAGTAATCTTGCCTCTGTTTCAGTGTTTTTCACTCAATCTGATGTGTCACTTTTGAGACTGACTACTTTTCTTCCTAAACTCTCTAACTTCAGTTACTGTCCTGTGTTCCTACCAGATTCTCTTGAGTATTCTGTTTCCCTAAACTGTTTTTTTTTTTTATGAGCATAGCTGTTTCCCTATTTTTCTCCTTACCTTCCTGGCTTATGGTGAAAACGTTTTTTGCAGGCTCTTTCATACCTTTCCCTCCAATTTTCAGTACAATCCATCCATCTTTTGCACTTATTAAGTTATTTAGATGTTACACATCTAAATTTTATTAAGTTAGTTATTTAGATGTTATGTTATAGTAATGGCATCTAATCAACAGAGGGCACTAACATTTTGGTTCTATTTAATGGACGTCATTATTCTGAGATGCTTCCCTTATATTATATTTTTTTGAGACACAGCACGGATAGCCATGGTACTACAAAATGGTTTGTAACGCACAGGATGTCCGCTTAATTTTAGTTCAAAGTATGGTAAGAACTGGCTAAGAGAAACAGACACTCAGTACAGAAAGTTACACCATTCAAAGATCAAGATCTAAAATGGAAGAAGTGGGTCACATGTATCATAGTATTAACAGAAGAAAAAGCAGACTTCCAGTATTGTATAGTGTTGTGATGTTTTTGGTCATGCCTCCTGTGTTATGGAGGCTATGAACTCATGTAATGAGTTCATAGAGGAGTGCCCTCCTACAGAGAGTCTCGTATATTTCCTCAAGAGTAAGGAGATGATGATGCTCATCAGCAGCTCTGGCAGGCTTTTAAAAAGTCAGAGCCTCTCTCTAGCATCTACTCCTGCCTTTTCCTTCCCAGAATACATAGCAGCTGCTCCCAGAGCTGCAATTACAGTAGTAAGATTTTCTCTTTTGAATCATCCATCTGGCTGGGAAACCACCTCCACAAGAGGCACAAAGCCATGTTTGGAACCAGGAGCCATATACAAAATGTAAGACGGAAAACACAACCTCTTCACTGCCCTGTGGCATCTGGCACATTCCTGGAGCAAGACACTGTAAAAGTGCTGATAGAAAGCTTTCACTACCTGTGATTGAGACCGGTGCATATTGTTGGTGAAAACAGCAACCAGGACTGATGGAGGGTGTCAATGCTACTTTTACCATCTTACAGCTATTGTCTGGGTATTTTTTAAATATATAAGGTTTGGTTAGTCCAAAGATTATAAAGTACCATATGTTATCTAGCCTCCCATTTTTGAACAAGATAACTGGGAAACTGGCAAAGAACTACCTTTAAATGTGCCTATCCACACCAGTATTATGGATCTTTGCCAAATGAGGTTCAGTCCAGATCTTGGGACAGAGAAAGTGTTCTTCATACTGATGGCACTTTCCCTGCCCATGGACAGAGAGAGGATGTCCATACTCATCCCCCTGGATCTGTGTGCTGTGCTGATAATGGCAAACTACTGTCCTGTCTTGGAGACATAGCAGGTGTGGATGGGAAGTCTCTGAAATAGCTCTGGTCCTTCCTTTTAGGATGCTCACAAAGTGTGGTATTGGGAAAGTGCTCCTTTACTTCAGAGCACTCACCAGACTTGAGGGAGGCCCACAAAACAT